CCGCCAGCGCTGGGGCGTGGCCCGGGCGGAGGCCGGCCACAGAGTACAGGCAGCCCGGCCCAGGCGCGGTGACTGTCCACGCAGGGCTGCTGTGATGGACGCCGTGCTCCCCGGTTAGTAGCGGACACACTCGGGGGAGCAGGCAGTGCGAGCGAGAGGGCTGACTCCAGTCAGTGCAGCGCATGGACGGGCGGAGTTAGAGACGTTACACACGATTCTGGGATTCCTTTGCTCTTGCTTGTACAGGAGCCACCTGTCAGCAGCAGGGAGATGGGCACCAGGACCTGGGGCGGGAATGGGACTTCCTTTCCCACTAGCTTTAGCGCAAGAGCCGTCAATTCACGCCTGGCTGTTCCCGATGCCATTTGGGGAGTGGCAGCTGTTCGCCAGCACAGCTGCTCAGGTGGCTACCGCCTAAGCCACAGCAAAGGCAAGCCAGGCTACACACACAAAGCTCAGCGCGCTGGCGGGCGCAGGCTGCTAGAGCTACAACTTAACTCATACAGATTTTCGGGCGGAGGGAAGGAAGGAGCCCTGAAATTGAGACAGCAAAAAGGAAACCAGGTTAAAGATTTCACCCCTCGATTCGCTCCCTTTTGGGGTCCCTTAAATTTGAGCTTCTGATTCCCACTGAAGCAAATCGGAATTTGACTGGAGAGACCCGGAGGCACAGGAGCAGAGCAGGGTGGCCGAGAGAGGCAGAACGGAGTTGGCTTGCAGGCACAGAGCAGAGAAATGAGGCTCTGGTTGGTGGAGCAGCAGATGCAGAGGCTTAAATGTGGCCTCCTGGGGAGGGAGGGGAGAGAGCTGGTTCTGGAGCAGCAGTTCCAGGCTGGGTGGGAGAGCCATGGCAGCAAGGCCCACGGCTTATGGGATCAGTTATGTAGCATGGAATTACCAAGTTTTAGTGCAAAGGGAGGTCTTACGCCTGGGAGCCAGACGTGCCCGATTCTACTCCCAGCTCTGGCACAGACTCACTGGGAGCCCAGGGCATGAAAGGAAGCAGTTACCAGGCCCCCCCGTCTGTCCAGCATGCCAGCGACCAGAGCAGCGCACCGGCCGGAAGGAGACAGACTGAATACTTCCGCTCCGTGGATGAGCGAGACCAATGGGGCGGGGGGAGCGCATGTGGCAGGCTAGATCCCTCTGCCCAGATGTACCAGGCCCGGTAAACTCAGCCCTCTGGCCTCCAGCTTTGCACCATGTCAAATAAAGCAGCCCAGGGTGACTGGCAGCTCACACCCGATTGTCAGATCTCCGCCTTCCCATCACCACGCTACAGTCTGCATCTTACAGCCAGCGATGGAGGGCCAGCCCCGGGGGACCCGATCGGAGACAGGCCTCAGGCAGGTTCACTCAGTGCTCCGGAAAGGGCCTTGCAATGCCAGAAGAGAATGGAAGTGGCAGGACGCTGGGACGCGCCAGAGAGGAGCGTGGGGTTTCCCGAGGTAGGGAGGAGTCACGCAGAGCTCACTGGCCAGGTGCCGGGTGCCCATGGGAGGGGTGGGCTGTCCTTGCACAGCACTGAGCTAAGGGGGCGTTGGGTGGGAAGAGGAGCTGAGCATTCTGCACACCGGGGCTGCCAAGAGGCCTGCGGGGCTCAGAAACCCCAATGCTCCTGTGGGGCTTCTCCTGGGAGCTGGGACCAGCCCGTGGCTCAGGGTCCCTGGCTTTATTCAGCACCTGGCAGCAGCTGCACTCAGGCCCCAACTAGCTTTTTACCCCGAGCGTGCCAAGGGCTGCGGGAACACCGCAGGGGTGTGCGGCAGCCTCCAGGGCCAAATCCAACCTCTCTGCAGCTACTGAGCCACCCCGCGAGCAGGGAGAGCTGCAGCATCAGGCTAAGCTGCCCAGAGTCTCACTCATCCAAGCCATCCCAAGGTTGGCCGGAGGAGTTCAAGTGAGGCTCCCCCCCTTGCTGCCTCAGCTGCTCATTAGGGTGGCAGGCCCAGGGTGCAGCAGGCCAGCGTCAGACAAGGAACGGGCTGTTCTCTCGATTGAGGGTGGGGGTGAGAAGCTCTCTGCCACCCACCACGGCCTCAGGAAGCATGCCCAGCAGAAGGGGGCTCTCCCTGGGGTCTCTCCGGGGGCACAGGGCAAGGCCGGCTGGAAGTGCCAGTGGGCACCCTGACCATGGGGCTGGCAGGCCCAGGGTGCAGCAGGCCAGCGTCAGACAAGGAACGGGCTGTTCTCTCGATTGAGGGTGGGGGTGAGAAGCTCTCTGCCACCCACCACGGCCTCAGGAAGCATGCCCAGCAGAAGGGGGCTCTCCCTGGGGTCTCTCCGGGGGCACAGGGCAAGGCCGGCTGGAAGTGCCAGTGGGCACCCTGACCATGGGGCACGCCTCCTCCTGTCGCAAGCAGCAGGCATTTCCATTTTCTTGGGCAGGCCGTGAGGAGCCCCCCGGCACGCACCACTCCACTTGATTTCCAGCCAACAGCGGCCACGCCCTCCCGTCCACGACCGAGCGCACTGACTAACTGGCGGGCACGTTCCTCCTCCTCCCCGCTTAGGCCACAGGAAGGCTCATTGGGGAGGCCGTCCCCCGGGGACAGACCTCGGCAGGGGCCCTCCGGTGGTAGCCTTGGCCTCAGCAGCCAGCGGAGAGCGCCCTGCTGGGAAGAGCCCTGCTCCCTCGCCCCCCCACATCAGCCAACCTACCTTGCTCCCAGGCTGCCTTGCACCTACTCAGACGCCTGCTCTTGCCACGCGCTCTTCTAGTCCAGCTCCCTGCACGCAAGGCAGGGATGTGAAGGGGGAGCCGGTCAGCAGCACCCTCTAGTAAGGCTGACTCCTGGGTACTGATTAGCCAGGACCCAGGAGCAGCCCCTGCCCATGGCCTGCTGCGGGTTGAGGGCTGCTCCCATCCTCCCCTCCTCCACATGCAGGGCTGACAGCGCCCCCATGCAGCTGGGGAGGGGAGAGCAGGCCGCAGTTAACCTGCTAAATGCTGGGTCCAACGGGGATTTTACATCCCAAACGCAAGGCAGGGCTGCGTATTCCCCAGGCCATTCCTGACGGATGTTTGTCTAACCTGCTCTTAGCTTCCAGGCACAGGGACTCCACGACCTCCCCAGCGCTCACCACTCCGACAGGCCCCACCTAAACCTGCCCTGCTGCAGCCTAAGCCCCTTGCTTCTTGTCCAGTCCTCAGAGGGCAGAAATTCCCCGTAATGCAGTGGGGGAAGGTACGGCTGGGGTAAAAATGGCTCCCAGCACGGGGGGGGGGGGGGGGGGAGGAGGTGCGTCAG